CATTTATTCCATTACTGTATACTTTGATAACACATTCATTAAAACTGACTATCATTTTAAATGGGAAACATCGCATGGCAGAACGTAACAGCCTACTAAACATTGAGAGATTTTACTACAATATATTTTAAATATAACGTGAGTAATCGTTAAGGAACATTATAATTAGACATTAATTCAATAAATACTTATTTTAAATCAACAAGTTCCATTCCAGTAGTCTGGAATTATCCTCATAGTTGAGGAAAAATAATAAATTAAAATTGTGAGTCACAAAAAACTAACATCAATTGTGGTAAAACCAGGTATTTTGATTCAAAAACCAAACTACTGAAATGATTTTAATAAAATGTATATGGGACCAATCTAAAAGTATTTTTATTAAAGTCTATCCTTACAGATGAAAAAAGTATTCCCAAAATCAGTTTATAACTGACTGAGTTATAAGGTAATAAACATAAAAAAAATACCGCCGAATTGATATAAAATTGATAAAACATAAAAGAAAGGTAGAAAAAGAAGTGGGGACTAAAAAACAATATCTTGACAAAGATCGAAAAGGAGATGTTGCTATTAGACTACTTGGAGAGAATAGATAAAAGAAGAATTACGAAAGAGATTTATCGAGCACAAATGAATGGAGATGTCAGTAGGGACCGCCATTGACGGACGTCTGTCGACCAAATAGGCGACGTGCTGAAGAAGAGCTAAATTAAAAGTACTCGTAAGCGGCGAACGTGTATGAATAGATTGATGAATGTGGAGGAAGCGAAAGGCCTGTTTGAATTGCAGCATTTAGCGTTTCATTGTTTCTGTCTATCCTAATGAGAGACAGGCGTGACGAATATGTATGTACGAGTATGTATGTAAACTGTAGGATTTCGATTGTTCGACTCATATGTTTTACTTTACAACATTACTGCAGTCTACCATTAATCTTGCTGGCAGGCAGCTTTGTATAGAGTTGCAAGTTTTCTTTCTTTTGCGTCAGTGGATTGTATTCTGTTCTGTTAGCCGCTTCTTACAATATATAAAAGATGAGAAGGAGTGGTAACACATTGTATTTTTATTACGTAAGCACACGGAGACGTTGTTTACCGACTAAAATCGATTTCCTATGTTAAAACTAAGCGCAATATAACAAGAGGTTATCATGAGAAAATTATAATGGAATATTTAAGCAACGTGACTGGATTCAAATTAAAGGACGCATGAGAATATCCAGATTAAAATGTGGCAGTCCATACTAATATACATATTAAATACTAATCCGTACATTATAATCATGAAAGAGTTTCTTTGTTGGTTTGTTATCTTTTAGCTATAAAATTTGGTATATACTTACTATATATGAAATGGAAAACGACTTTTTACTCCGGTTTAAGGTTTAGAAAAAAGAAAGTTTACTCACTTACTTATTTAGGTACTTATATGAAAGATATGAAAGTAAAAAATTGTTGAAGTATCAGTAATTATAGTAAGTAAAGTAGTCGTGCATTTATTTCTGAATAACTTGCAAAGGAATGAAAATTTCATTTCATCTGATTTTTTTTGCAACTATATTACACAATTGCAATATAATTTCATTGTGAACCAATTTTCACACTTCTTTCTTGGTTGGTCCTTTTAAAATTTATGAAGTTTCAACTTGTTGTTTTGTTTTTACAGCGTAAAAAATATATGGAGAAAGCGTAAAGAATATATGGGTATCAAAAAAAATAAGTCAAAGGGATAAGAATAACTACGATGCATCATATCGTATATCGGTGCGTTCACCATTGAAGTAATTTTTTGCGGAGCAATATACTCTTGTATGACTACAATTATTACGTAGCATTAAATGCTACAATTAAAGACGAATATAATGTTACTGTATTTGTTAAGTCCAATACACGCTACACAATTCGCCAAAAATTACCACATATACCACTATATATGGGTACATACATTCGAATGCCCTCCCATCTTTGACAGTAATGTAATTAAAACTTATTTAACTGGTACAGAAACGTCAACATACATCGTGCGGAATGTGCTGGGTAGATCGTAGAGAGGGGACCGCGTGTACTGTCCTAATCTATGGGGTAAATTTTATTAAGTTTATATATATATAAATACCTAACTGTAGACATTCATTATCTTTATATAAAAATAAAATTATTAAAAGAAATTTATTTAGTTAATTTTAAACTTTGCGTTGTTTATACATATTTAAAAAAAATATCGCGTTAAGTTCCGATAGTGTATTTAAATAGTAGTTTATTTATATAACCCATCCTCGCATTTAAATTCAATTGCACGTATAGGATAAGTAGTAGACACTAATTTCATGTTTAATAAAATACATCTCACTGATAATGTAGCGTTCTACGGTTGAAATATTTTTTTCAAATTAAGAAAGAGAATACTACGTTCGAAATTGTCGATGAATATGTCCTCAGGTATACATACTCATCGACAACTTGTCCGACTAGGTAAGTCCAACTTCGATCAAGAGGTTAACCGACGAATCCAACTCGGCTGGATAGTGTTCGTAAAACATATCGTTTCATTCAAAATACTTCAGACTTTTAAGACAAGTCTTTAACAAATGGTTTGAATGCTATATAGTATTAAGTCCGCCTTTTGTACCACACATTTTTTTTGTAATGAGGTCAATAAAGAAAAAAAAAATAAACACAGTCCTACACGGTTGGCTATATGCTTTAAATTGCTCAGAGAGATATGGAAAGGGCTTTGCTCGGAGTTTCCTTGCGTGACAGAATTCGAAATGAAGATATCCGAAGAAGAACCAAAGGAAGCTGACATAGCTGACAACCGATAGAGAAGAAAGGTTCTTGAGTGGCGATCCTGTAAAGGCAAACGCAATGTACGACGACTCTCCACTAAACGTAGCGACGACCTCAAAGGCATTGATGGGAGTCGGTGGTTGCAAGTGGCTCCAGGACCATCCCTTATGGCGCAGACTATGTGGGGGAGGCCTATATTCAGCTTTGGACAATTAACGAATGGTATGATAATGATGAAGTAAGAAATAAAAGCATACCTATTTATAATATTATTTCAAATAATAATAATTCTATTCCTTTCACGTTTTAACAAAAATATGTTTTTATACCAGTACTATCGTAAATTATGCGAAAAAGTCCACGAATTGCAGCTAGTTAAAAATCCATTTCTCAGTTTGTTTTTCACAACATTTCCTTTAGAAGCTTCGTAACTTTCGATAGATTAAAGAACATTTTCACTACGCGGATTGAATCTAACGAAAACCGCATTTTGAACTCTTATTAGTGAAAATTAGTTTAGTCCGCCTAACTTTTAATAGATAAGTTAAGAGTTGAACCGGTTTTCACCGCAATCAAGCCTACATAGTAGTATCCTTTGATCAAACTGCACCCACAATTATCAGATTTGCGATTAAACAGAGCGAAGTTTTGTTACAGTAGGCAACTTTGCTATTGTATTGCTTACCTACTCAGTGCGGATTCACATTGTGTAATGAATTTGGCGTGTTACCCTAGCATAGAATAAACTACCCCCCTTCCTTTACCGTACATCTCGTAAGAGGCGAATAAAGGAATTTAATGGTCGAGGAATAGGCAACAGCGTCCCTCTTAAAACATCACCAATACTTAACAGCAGTTGCCAATCCGGTTGCCAAGTGTGACAACTACTGATAAAACACTCCAATAGGGAAAGACCTCTATTCAGCAATGGACAGTTAACGGCTTATATAATAATAATAAAAAATCAAGTAAAGAATAACATCTCTATAAATAGTCTAGAGATTTATTATTTACATTGTTTACCCGAGACAGACTTTGTACAGAAATCGTATAGGTATTACCAGTACCGTTTTAATATCTATATATCGACTTCCTCTGGAGATTGATGACGGAAAAAAGGTCATATCTATTTCGATATCGCCCATACAAGTCTGATATCTATATTAATTCCGATGGTGTTCTTCGTTTTGATATTATATCTTGGATAATCGATATGTTTCTATTATTGGCCCAATATATAAATACTGTAACTAAAATATATAGATATTGATGTATATTACTCACCTTTACTGGATAGATACCTATGTGGGACATAGGTATCTATCCACCCGCATCTCTGCCGTAAATCAGCTGTGCTTGCTTGGAAGTGTTTCGATTTGAAGGGTGGGAAATTGCAGTGAAATTACAGCCGGAGGCATAACATCATAGTCGAGAGGAAAGGCAATGCGTGACGGGTACTATGGGCATGACAGTATACGTGGTGTTTATTCATATCTATAGGCAACGGTTATAAAATTCAATCAGAGAGGCCGTCGGCATGCTTGCCATTTTGGGCATCTTAAAATAATTTTAAAAATGTATTTTACAAAATACAAAAACCGACTTCAATCGTGGTTAAACCAGTTATTTTGATTTAAAAACTAAAGTATTGAAGCGATTTTGATAAACTTTCTCTGAAAATAATCCAAAATATAATAAACAACTATCCAGATTGGTTTATAAATGACAAAATTATACTCGAAACAAACATAAAAAAATACAACCGAGACCCATCAGCTTTTTTGGAGTCGATTGAAAATATATACTTTTTTTTTATACAACTTAGAATGGCAAACAAGCTGACGGCCCACCTGATGGAAAGTGGTAACCGACGCCTATAGACATGAACAGTACCACGGACATAACAGAGTATACTGTTTCGCCCATGATGCCCCTCATGCGTTGCCATTTCTGAGGATTCAGATGTTATTCCTATGTACCCTGTAAATTCACGCCATGTCCCATTCTTCAAACCTGAATAAGCTTTCTAATTGATATTATTATTATTAAACATAAAGTAAATAATTTGTCTGTTAGTTCAAAAATCAGTTTTGACGACTCGTTATAAAATAGCTGACGGTCCATCTGATGTGTTTTATACCTGATATTGATTATTGTTGCCTATATACATATCTTTATAAGTAGTCTAAATAATTAAGTGAACTTCTTTACCTTACTTGATAGCGATGTCGTTTTTATTAACGAGAGAGCCAATTACATGGAACGTGTAAATACCTGTGAAAGAAAGGAATAGTTTCAAACACAACTAATATTATAAATACTGGCATATTTAATATATTGGAATAACACCTGAGTCCTCAGGAATGGTAACGCATGAGGAGTATCATGGGCAAAACAGTAAATTCTGTCATCTCCATGATCATGCCTATAGGCGACGGTTACCACTTTCCATCAGGTGAGTCGTCAGCTTGTTTGCCATTCTAAGTTGCATAAAAAAATTAACATTATAATCCAGGGGTTTCGATGCACTCTTACATATGTCTTTACGAAGCTATGCTAGTATCCTAGGGTGGACACCATAGACGATTCTGAGCAAACCAATAACAAGCAAAACAAAACAAAGCCGAAACCAAAAATATATTTTTCCTGTTACAGTACAAAGGGAGACTTTGTACAAAACTCGTTTGCTTGGGTACCTCTGTCCCATTCGTGTTTCAACCGTGAAGCAGTTGTATTGACATGGCTGTGTTTCAGTTTGAAGGGTGGGATATGGCGTGAATTTACAGGGTACAGAGGAATAACACCTAAGTCCTTAGGAACGGCAACGCATGTATCAACGGGGTATCACGGGCGAAACAGTATACTCTGTTATGTCCATGGTACTGCTCATGTCTATAGGCGACGGTTACCACTTTCCATCGGGTGGGCCGTCGGCTTGTTTGCCATTCTAAGTTGTATAAAAAAATTAAGTGATAATTTTTAATATGCTTCAACACCATAATCTAATTTAGGTATTATCGATTAAATTATATCGCTATTATTAATTATTTTAATACTGTATCTTATTTATATTGAAATAGGCCTCATTATACTATAAATATACAATATATTTATAGAACTATTACATAGTTTAAAATTGAACCAACTTCAATTGTGGTAAACCAGTTTATTTCATTTAAAAACTAAACTTTTGAACTGACTTTGATAAAATTTCTATAGGATCAATCTGAAAGTATATGTATATACTTTCAGGTAAAAACAGAATTTTGCAAATCAGTTTACAACTGACGAAGTTATGAGGTAACAAATATCTCTCTTTTCATTTAAGAGTTCCCTCTTGTCGGTGCAACTAATTCATGCATCTTCCTCCAGCCAGCTCTATCCCAGGCCATATCCTTTATCTCCCTATACGACATGACGCCTAGTATTTCCTTTATCTGTCCCATGTAGTTATTCCTCGGTCTTCCTCTTCCTCTTTATACACACATATACAAACAAATATAGAAAGAATAAAATCTAATTGTATTTTTTTTTTGTATATACCATGAAGGTGGCAAACAAGTAAGTATACAGCATAGTAAATGGTCATTGTAGTCTATGAACACCTACAACACTATGGGTGTCACGTGCGTATTGTCTATTGTGTTGAACCTCCTTCTTCTTGAAGTCCGTTAAAAATGTATAATCGTTACATGCATTCTTCTTTTAATGTTTTGCGATACATTAAAAGAAGTAGAAAGAAGAAAAATAATTTATTTAACAACATATATTACAGCAGCTAACAGTAAAAATAAATTCTAATTACTAAAAAGGCTGTTACTCAGATGTGTCTGGACTTTGTACGACGCTACGACTCTGGTTTTCCGTAGGAGCCTATACAAAGAGTGCTGCGCGCAATAGTAAAATTAAATAACAAACAACAATAAGACAAATACTAGTGTTAGATTTGTATATAAGAATTGCAAGAAATGAAGTCTCTCTCTCTCTTTTGTATTACTCTTCACTACAATTGAGTCGTATTGTGTGCACAACCTCACTAAACAAGCCGCAAACGTATTTATCGATAAATACGTCTTATTCGTATCTGCGGTATGTACGAGGTCTAACAGGACAGCACAGGGTTTTGTTTTTTCCGATAAATTCATTTACCATCTCGTTCTTAATCTATTTTTAAACATTTTTCTTTTTTGTTTTTGAAAAAAGAATACAATGTTCGAACATTGTACTAATAATTATAGATACTTTAAAAATCGAATTCCTAAACCTGGAGCTATGCTAATAACACATAAGAACCAACTTTTTTCAAAGCTGTTTGATAAGTAAGCGATTTGTAAAAATTTTACGTTTTTAATTAATTTTCACGATCATAATTCTTTTAGGGCTTAATTTTATTTATAGAAATATAAAATTAAACGTCCACTAATTTCATAATGAAAATTTTATGCAGGTATAAAAATGTCATAAAAATTATAGATCCATTATTAAAAAAGTCTATAAGGATTTATAAACGAAGAGTTATTACATAGAATTAATTACTGAAGCTTTAGGTATGCTCATTTATATTAATTAAATAGCTCAGCGGAACCCCGTTATACAAATTATCTGCATTAATGTACAAAGGTGTTTAGTAAAACGCAATAATAGCAAGGTTAGCTATTATCTTTGTTGATATCTTTCTAAAATTATGTTCTGTAATTTAGAACGACTGAACTCAGCCGTGACTTTTATAAACTTCCGCTGTAAAAGGTAGTGGGTAAGAGTAATATATAGAAATATCTTATTGTATTGTAGCTACAATATCTATACATATATTGGCTCAATAGCTCAATATATTATCTGTCGATTATCCAATATATAATATAGAAAAGAAAAACCCGTTCGTAATGAATACAGATATCCGACTAGTATAGGCAATAACGCAGTGGGTGGTCGTCAACCCATCTCTGGAATTAGGTGCTATAAATAAAATTAAAAAAAAAAATTAAAGGCAAGAAATGTTTATAGTTTAAAAAATGTGTGTATTTATAATTTTTAAGGTTTATAATTTAAGACTTTTAGTCCAAAGTAGTAGTATTGCGCCGCTTTGACCGTGTAAATTTGAGCACGTCTGTCTACATCTCGCCTGATTTTAAGTGACCATGAAGTCTAATGTCAAATTCCATTAAATTTCACCCAGCCGTTTAATTGTGATTGAGTGAATTTACAGAGTACAGAGGAATAAAACCTGAGTCCTCAAGAATGGTAACGCATGGGGAGTATCATAGGCGAAACAGTATAGTTTGTTATATCCGTGGTACTGCTTATGTCTTTAGGTGACGGTTACCATTTTCCATCAGGTGAGCCGTCAGCTTGTTTTCTATTCTAAGTTGCATAAAAAAGAGTGAGTAAGAAATGTTGATACATTTTTACAAAATTTTACATTTTTTAGTAATATTGATATGGGGTTTTACAAAAAGGGTATAATAAGGTTGCCTCAGATTCAGCAAGGTACATGTGACACTCCTAGTGTTCCAGCGTCTTTGGGCCACCGTAACTGTTTACCATCAAACTGGCTGTATATGTTGCCACGTTTATGGGATAAAAAAAGGAATAAGAAAATGGTTGATTGGGAGAGAATGCTTTTAGCATTAAGTCCGCCATGTACACATATTTGTACCAATGAATAAATTAAAAAATATTCCCAAGTGAACTAACTGCTTACCTTAACTCATACTCATAAATGTCCAAGACCAAGCCATTATCGACAGGTCCTAAAGATATTCTAGGTATTTCAAGTATGCCCAGACGTTATAAAAGCTTTTAAGATACGTTCTCTGGGAAAATTACCTCGTATATCACTCATAACTGGCTATCAAGAACTGAGAACACTATAAATTCAAATAATTCACGAAAAAAAACATGTTGCGTTAGTGTTTAAAAAGTACTTAATGCATTCTTTATGCTTTTTTTTAATAATAAATTATTTTTATTCAAGTGAACTTAAAAATAAGCATTTTTGAATAGTTATTTTTTTATGAATCTATCGCCCAGTTAGGAATGCAATTTCAACTGAAAAGAACGGGCGAGAAACACAGCTGTCGCTTTTTTGAAATAAGAGTCAAGTGTACAACAAAAAAATATATTGTAGAAGAAATTATTAATAGATTCTTTACAAAGGCTCTATTAGTGCAATAAACTTACAGCCGATGTAAAACAGTAGGAGTTACCTACAGACATAAATACAAATGTATAATGTGGAATATGCTATGTTTACGGTATCATGTCAGTTTTCTTTCTTGAGGAATAAGGTGTTAAGCTTTCATATCTGAGATTACTTCTCACTGCTATCTCCTGTCCTTCAAACTGAAACGCAACTAGCATACAAAAGCAAAAATACGACATTAAGATTGTGACCACAAAAAAACCGACTTCAATTGTGGTAAAACCAATTATTTTCATTTCAATATTAAACTACTGTGCCGACTTTGTTAAAATTTCCATAGGTCCAGTCTAAAAGCATTATATCTTTTTAGATAAAAACGAATTTTCCAAATCTGTTTATAAATTACAGAGTTATGAGGTAATGAACATAAAAAAATCCAACCGAATTGAGAACCTTCTTCTTTTTCAAATCAATTAAAATAATGTTTTTTTTTTATACACGCGTATTGTACACACATCTTTTATTGTACTGGTACTACGCCTAACAAAGTTAGCTAAATCTAGACCAGGGGTTCCCTTAGAGTTGAAATCAGTTTCTCAGAGGTGGACGAAGTCTAAAAATCGATTCATTCTGAAAATTTATATCTAGTCCATTGTTAAATTTTGATCAGAAAATGATGTCGCCTTCATTCGCTTATCTAACCGCAAAGTTTTTAAATTAGTAAATATTTTGTATCAGTAAGAAAAAATAGAAATAGAATTTTTAAAGTAATTTAGCTAAAGGAGTCTGAGGTATCAGTTCATTTTGGAAAAGGGTTCTCTTGCCCAAAATAATTTGGAAATCTATGATCTAGACCGTACAAATTTATTTAAATACGGAACCCTCGTGTAGAAGTCTAACTCATAGCTGACCAGTTTTTATAATATAAAGGACCGTTAGTCTCTTATTGTGATATACCATAACAAAAGTTGAGGATAATCCATCTTATACAAAATGTAAGGTCGCCATGAAAGTCAGTGTCCATTCTTATTTTGTCACAGTATGGGACTTCATGACACGACATTACTTTCAGTTAATTTCACACGGTGGCCTTCAACGTTATTAAAAAAAAAATTAGAACTGTCTAAAAATT